GGGGGGCAATAGGGGCATAAGCAAACTTCCAAGGGGCAGCAGGTTGACTCAAAATTAATTTAAGTGAATAACCATAAAACAACCATTAAAATAAGCCAAAATAACTACAAATGAAGATATTTCTCATTTTTATTCATCCCCTGAACAATCGGGTAGAAATTTTGAATAATTTTTTTAATCCTTATCGTTATCTAGTAAATCACAAAGAACTGTAAAAGTCATGGGGTCGTCGAATATTGTTGTGGACAGTTAGGGGCTTTGGAGTCGAAAAGTTTGAGAACCACTGAATTAATATCTATTACAGTTTATGTGAGTTATATTTTAGTGACACTACACAAACTATAGAACTAACTTACTGTAAATCCCAGTTGTAACATTTTTAAGTATAAATTTTGTCTCCGGTTTTTCTCCTAAAATTCCTTAATACAAATAAAATAAGAAAAATAATGACACAATTGAAATGCTAAATGTAGAAAAATTTATGTGGCATTATTTATATCAATTTGTTTTAGAAGAATATGATGAGAAATAATCAAGAAAATATTAAACATGAGGAAAATATCTATATAATTTATTATTAAAAACATTAGAAGGGAGCTCAGTAAATTTTGTTACTGGCCTTTTATGGATTTTTCAAAAGTATACTTCTTTTTGTATGGTCTTTTTTTAAATGAGGACTTACTGAGCTCACTTTTTTAAATGCATCTTTATGATTTTTATTTCTTTGGGATTTTACATACGCAATTCAAATATGTATATTAAACAAGGAGCTAAAGAAAATTTGAAAATGGCGTTCATTTGAGTACAGGGTTTGCAGTGATGCCAGTGTCTATGTGTGTGGACATTGGTGCTGTGGCACCTCTCCAATTATTACAAAAAAAAATAAAAAATTCAAAAAGAGGGAGAGATATTCCATGTCTAAAGTGTGTCTTTTTCCTCTCTATATCGCCTGAAGCTCTGTTCACACTTACAGAGAATTTACAGCAACTAAGTGACCAGAAGTTGTTTATTTTCAATGATCATTTTCTAATTCATGAAGGAACAGTCCACCCATTGAATGGAAAAAATATATTTTTGTAAATTGCATATATTTTATATAATAAAGGATATTTTGCCCGTTTTGGGAGGGCTCTTAAAGGAACAATTCACCCAAAAATGTAAATTCTGTCATCATGCTCATCCTCATGTTGTTCCAAACCTGTATGCTGCCGTGCAAAGGCAAAAGACCGTAACTTCGATTTTTTTCGAAAATGAGTTATTGATATTTTTGGGACATTCAAGACATCATTTATCATGTGTATAAGTATCTTGAGTCAATTTTGTTGTTTTTCTGAGAAAATAATGAGTCGTCTCAACCGTAACTTTGAAAAGCCCCGGAGAAACCAAGGCAGAGCACCGTATAATGTACTCGGTTACTAACGTAACCTCGGTTCCCTGAGATACGGCAACGAGTACTGCGTCTTGCTTAAGACGCATATGGGAAAAAGCCTTTTTTCTCCTGAACTGAAGCCTATTTCATTCACGCAGTGAAACTGCACGGCCATTGGTTTGTGCAGGGCTTTAAAAACGAACCAATGACGCAGCAGCGGAGCTGCACAAGCCTATGGCAACGAAGCCCGCCAGAATGGGCGGGGCATCTGGCTATATAAGCGGGCGCTCGCCACAGGATTCTCAGGTTTATTCGACTGAAGCGACGACTGAGTCGTGCAGCTACATAGCACGACTAGCAACGCAGTACTCGTTCCCGTATCTCAGGGAACCGAGGTTACGTTAGTAACCGAGTACGTTCCCTTTCGATACTTCACTCGTACTGCGTCTTGCTTAAGACGCATATGGGAACAGTCCAATCACGCCGTGCTAATGTAGTGAAACGACTAAAGGTATAACTTCCATAAGCACCAATGCTTATAGAGAAGTCAACAATAACCCAAGGCTAAGCGGGCTGAGCTTTCTAGGTCACACCCGGCCTAGTTAATCGTTCCAGAGTATACCCGTAACTTCGACAGGAAGAGTATGCTAGTGAGATGGCGTTTACTATCCATCTAGAGAGTCTTTGCTTCGTAACCGGAAACCCCTTGGTGCAGTTACCGAAGCTGACAAAGAGTTGTTCCGATCGCCTATATGGAGCGGAACGCTCAATATAGATTCTCAACGCCCTGACGGGGCAGAGCAGAGATAGCTCTCTGTCCTCTTCAGTTGGAGGAAGCGCGGAGAGCGTAATGACCTGTGCTCTGAACGGAGTGGAGAGCACTTTAGGTACGTAACAGTGCCTCGGTTTCAGGACGACTTTAGAGTCGTTAGGCCCGAATTCCAGACAGGCAGGGTTAATTGAGAGAGCCTGCAGGTCTCCTATTCGCTTTACTGATGCTAGTGCTAGAAGCAGAGCAGTCTTTAGCGATAGCGACCTAATGTTGGCGGCTTGTAGCGGCTCGAAAGCGGGGCCCTTCAGGGCCCTCAGCACAGTGGGCAGGTCCCATGAAGGGACGGTAGGGGGACAAGGTGGATTCAGCATCCTTGCACCCTTCAGGAAGCGGATGACCACGCTATTTTTGCCCACTGATTGGCCCTCAATAGGGACATGAGAGGCCGCTATAGCCGGCACATAGA